CGAGCATACGCATCACTCCGCACAAAATGTAAAATAAACGAAGTCGGATGAGAGACACCCTTATGGCCCGAACAATCCTTCATATTCTACATCTAGGTGAACGACCTCTATTTTTTTTCATGCTAGCTCTATATCTCATTGGCAAATAAGACGCGAAGAACTTGTTGATGCAATCATACCACCCAAAAAAATTTGTTAAACATACATTCAAAGAAGAGGTGATCCCAGTCTCAATCCATCAAAATAAAGGACATAAGATACTGGAGTAGAACAACACCAAGAACGAACGTATACGATCTCGAGTCGATAGATGATCACGAATAGTCAACCAACTTAAAAAAAGAATGTTCGAGGATATGCATAACTAGCAAACCAAGTAACATGATGCCAAGAAACACGAGAGCCCTTAGAACGAAGGACAGTCCAAACACTTGAGATAGAGAATAATCTTGAGGTTGCAAGAGTCCGAAATAATATAATACTATCCTCCATCATATACCACATATAAGCTTGCATCTCTAAAAGATCAATGAAGGTACTTTACGTGCACCATCTAAACCTAAAAAAATCTCACAAGATGAAGATGATGGCTAGCAGCATCATGAATAATCCACTCTCTGATATCTTTGCAACATAATAAAAGAGAAAGGGGTCAAAATTCCGCATCATAGTAAATCAAAAATAAAACTCTCCCATTTTATTCCAAGGTAATGGATCAGGTAGCAATTTAGGCAAGCGAGTGACACTAACTTTATAATATATTTTATTTGTAGTCATTTGATGTCGAAATTCAACTTGTCCATATGTCCTTCAATCGAAGTCGTCAGATAAATAAATTTACAACAACAAACCTCGATACTAGTGCGGTACCCCGCCTAAGGTATGATCAAGTTAGTAAACCGGGAGAGAGGAGRAAAACATAAAGCAACTTGAGTATTGAGTGATAGATTTTTTACCTACCCTTACCCTGTAGTTATGCAATCTTGTCTCTTTTAGGTGACAGAGCCAACTAGGGAGGACGCCTAGCGTGAGGTACCAACCGTATGGTTCCATTTGCATACGTGCTCTGGTGAGCTTTAGGGGACATTCTCGACGTGTGGTATCGTCTCAGTTGGCACCACGCTGTAAGGCCTCTCACATAATCGTTTGCACATCCCTGGTTGTACATTGGTAGGTGAGTTGGTTGGTACCCACTATCTGTGCCTTATGGGACATTCTCGATGTGTAGTATTGTCTCAGTCGCCTATCACCCTGCTCCGCTGCAGGCACCACGCCGGAGGGCTTCTCATATAATCGTTTGCACATCCCTACCAGCTTCGCTGCTTTGTGTCACCTCAGGCACTCTCCACGTCTACGGCCTAATTTTTACCTTGATTCATTTCTATTAATAGGTAAATGGATCATACTAATAATATTTATTAGCCACTAAAGATAAATTAATGTTCCTAAGAAAGTAGGAAAGCGTTGGTTTGACCCAAGAAAAAAAAATGGTGATAGGAGGAGAGGAAGTGGGTGTAATTTGAATTGAATGATGGAGAAGAAATGCGTTGGGAAAAGGCCAACTTTTACAACC